GAGCCACCAGGAGTTTGAAGGACACTGCTGCCATAGCAGGAGCCTTTCAAACAGGTAAGGCTGGGGAGAGCTGAGGAGGGGTAGAGTTTGGGTTTAAGAGCCAGGGAGGAGTAAGAAGAGGGGGTGGAATGAGAAGCCCTTTCCTGCTGCTCTGTGCCACCAGGCAAGTGAACGTTGCTGTGTCACTTCTCCTGAAAGAAAATTCACAACCCTCAGTTATTTCTGTGCCAGAATTGTTTGCAGATCATCCCAGATGTTGGTGTTTGTGGGGCTGGGCAGGTAGTGACTAAATGGTGGGTAAACCCCTCCTCAGCAGTTGCTTTTAGGAAGGGTCCAGCCTGGAGGAGTGGTAATGAGGGAGGGCAGGGAGTGCAGCACGTCAAACGTAAGAAGAGCTGCAAGGTGCTTTCTCTGCACTTGGGGCTTTTTGAATCTTCTGCTTAAAGCTGCCCATGACAATATGCTGGGGGGAGATAAGGAAGTTATTTGCAGGAGAAGGGAAGGTGCTATTATGCCTGAGATCAGATTGCTGCCACTTCAGTTCTTCTGAACGCCTCCGTGGAGCGTTGGATGGTGGCCCATGAGGAGCTGCTGGTGCCACAATCCTGCCTGCTCCCCCCCTCCCCGGCCTGCACAGGGGCCTTGGAGGATCTCCAGAGCACTTGGTGTGGAAAAATGGTGTTGGGCAAGTGGGTCAGGCAGCTGCTGGTGGTCTGTTGGACCATCACTAATGCAGGAAGGAGCTGGGGTCCCTGTGACCATCTCTGAATGAGTCTGGTGCACAGGTTGTGAAGAAGGTGGAAGGGGGCTTGCTCTGAGGTGGTTCATCATCAGATTGTTACCATGCTTCACTGTTACAGAGCTACAGAATTATTTTGGTTGGATCCATCAGGATCATCAAGTCAAGCACTGGAACAGGCAGCTCAGAGAAGTGGTTGAATTGCCATCCCTGGACATGTTTAAGAGCCCTGCAGATGTGGTGCTGAGGGGGATGTGGTTTAGCAGTGGACTTAGTAGGGTTAGGTTTAATGGTTAGGCTTGATGACCTTGAAGAACTTTTGCAACCTAAATGGTTCTATGATTCTAAGTCCGACCCTTCCCCCAGCCCTTCCAGGTCCCCACTGCCCCGTGTCCCTCACCCCACATCTCCACGGCTTGGAAACCCCTCCAGGGGTGGGGACTCCACCACTGCCCTGGGCAGCCTGGCACAGCCCTGGGCAACCCTCCAGGGCAAGAAATTGTTCCTCAGGGGCAACTGAAACCTCCCCTGGGGCAACTGGAGGCCCTTTCCTCTTGTCCTGTCCCTTGTCCCTTGGGAGCAGAGCCCGACCCCCCCCTGGCTCCAGGCTCCTGTCAGGAGCTGTGCAGAGCCAGAAGGTCTCCCCTGAGCCTCCTTTGCTCCAGGCTCAGCACCCCCAGCTCCCTCAGCTGCTCCTCCCCACACTTGGGCTCTAGACCCTTCCCCAGCAGCTCCGTTGCCCTTCTCTGGCCACGCTCCAGCCCCTCAAGGTCCTTTTTGGGAGTGAGGAGAGTCAAAAAGCCATTTCTGGTAACTTTTACCTATTGCTCCATCATCAGACTGAGGAGGGGAGTTTTCCCTGGAGCCTCCAGTGAGGGTGTCCAGGATGTTTTGCCAGTGTCTCATATGCTGGTGCAATGCCTGGTGCAGTTGCCTGGGACATTTGTCAGGAGTTTGTTTCCAAGCTTCCAATTTGTTTGAAAAGCCATGAGAAAATTTCTCTTGCATGTCCCAGTCCTTCAGTAAATGATCTCCAGTGACAGGGCTCAGAGGAAAATGGATAAATAAATAGGACTTGCTTTAAATCCACGTGTTTGAGTGTTCAGCCTTCTTGCTAATCCTGTTGGTGAAGGGGAGGGTGAGGAAACATTCACATCAGCACTCAAGGTGCTGTGCTTTGCATCTGAACAATGTGGAATTTGACATTTCTCCTAATTTTTATGTCTCTTAGTGTTGGATCTTGATGGAATTTCACTTTGCTTACCTTTTGCAGAGCCCAAGGAAGGCTGCACAAGGCATTTGCCATAGCATTAAAAGCTATTTTTTTTCTCAAGTGCCACTAATGAGAAGTGTGTTTGCTTCAGAGAATACAATTATTTTGTGAAATCTTCATTCAATCTATTTGTTCCCATAATAGGCTTTTATGCTTCTTCAATATTTGGCTCCGTGTTGCTGCTAGGAAACCACTCTTGCAGATCTGAGAAGCACAATTATGTGTCCCTGAGACAATCTAGCTTCCATCCCATGCCAATGTAAAGAAGACATCAAAAGGAGGGATAAAATAAGGTCCAAGGTTGGCAAGGATGTTCAGGATGGGGACTTCAGGTCCAAGAATCTGCTGGTACATTGAGTGGCACATGTCTTCTTGACCAGGAGGCACCAGCTTTTGATGTGTGCTCTTCCCACCAAGCTCAGGGACTGGAAAGGGGAGATCTTTGTGTCCTTTTTCCCTTCCAGTATTGTGCACTCTCCCCTGTACATCTCCAGATGAATGCACCTTCCAGTTCATTGGTAGAACAACCTCTAAAAGGCACCTGCCTTCTGGGAAGAGTTGCTGTAGATGTTCTTCCAGTCATAGTGAACAGTCTATCAAGGGCAACTGGCTGGTTTTGGTTGTTGGGTTTGGTTTTGGGGGTTTTGTTTGCATCTACCTCCTCTACTTTTTCATGAATAAAGGTCTCAAAGTGTGTCAGTGTTAGCATTTTAATTTGCATCAGGAGCATTCTCTTGAAGCCATTCTGCCATTAGTCCCCACTGTCCTACCTGGGGTTGCATCTTGAGCAGATTCAGGGTGTATGAGCTGCTCTCTTTTGGGCCTGCCACAAACCAGGTGTAGTCAGGAGGCCACAAAAATGATCCAAGGCTGGAACCCCTCTGCTGGGAGGCCAGCAGGAGAGAGTTGGGCTGGGGCAGCCTGGAGAGGAGAAGGCTCCAAGGAGACCTTCTGGTGGCCTTTCAGTACGTCAAGGCAGCCTACAAGAAATCTGGAGACAGACTTTTTTTCAGGGCCTGTTGCAACAGGACAAGGGGGGATGGTTTTAACCTAAAAGAGGAGAGATTGAGACTAGAGAGAAGGAAGAAATGTTTGACCCTGAGGGTGGTGAGCCCCTGGCCCAGGCTGCCCAGAGAGGTGGTCACTGCCCCATCCCTGGCACCATCCCAGGTGAGGTTGGCCGGGGCTCTGAGCACCCTGCTCTAGTTGGGGATGTCCCTGCTCCCTGCAGGGGGCTGGATGAGATGACCTTGAAAGGTCCCTTCCCACCCAACCCATTTTATGATAGTCACAGGGGCTTCAACCACATCTCAGAGGCATTCAGCTCCTGAGACAGGGCTGAGCTCTTCTAAAATCTACTGAGGCACGTGCCATAAACCACCTAAAGCACAGACATTGTGTGCCTGGTGTCTCAGCCTTTCTACACTGGCCCTCTTGATAATGATGTTATTTTCTCAAAGACCTATTTATTTCCAGAAAAAGCCCTTAAAAGCACCATGAGCTTTGCTTTATTTGCAAAAATAATCTTCTCTGAAGGGTTTTGAGTTCGAGCGAGATGCCGTAGCGTGCCCAAAACCATTCCATATCTTGTCCCTTTCTTACCACTTATGATATCCTCGGGGCTGTGTAACACCAAGAGAGGAAGTTAAATAAATGTTTGAGGCTAAAAAGCACAGTCTGATGATGATTTCATACAAAACATCACTCCTGGAGCCCACGCTCCCTCTGTTTTGACACACGGTTCTATTTCGGGCTGCCTTCTGTAGCACAGAGAAACCAAAGAGAACCAAATGGGTTTTCATCTGCACTTTCACTGTTGACTGTATCTCAGTTTGGCAACTGAAGGGCTTCATTGCTGTGGAATCTGTTGCTCTGGCTTCATTCAACGTTGCCTCTCTCCCCCCTCCCCTCTCCTCAACAGCCTGCAAGTGCAACGGCCACGCCTCCGTCTGCAACACCAACACGGGGAAGTGCTTCTGCACCACCAAGGGCATCAAGGGAGACGAGTGCCAACTGTGAGTCCCTCCCCTTGGCTTTTGGAAGGCAAAAGGTTGTAGAACCCTGATGTTTTTTCACTTAAGACATCCTTGCTCATCTCCTCCTGCTGGCAGTTGACTAACTCTGCTGGCAGTGCAGCCAGCCCTGCGTTCCCAGGGGGAGGAGAGGAGCCAAAATTCCCATTTTTAACAACATTTCCACTGGGAACGTGGTGCAGAAGGGATGGGGTGAAAAAATATGACCACCACCCCACAACTATACACAGCACTTTGCTTTATCCCTCAAGAGGTTGTTTTTAATTGGTAGATTTTTACTCTCCTTGCACTCCCCTGTTGTAAGGGAGTGGAAATGTAGCTGAAATAAGACTTTGACACTCAAGCATTTTAATGGAGCAGTTTCAAAGCACCAAATTTGCTGGAGGTTCCTCTGTAACAAACCAGAGAGGTTTGCAGTGGAATCTTAGTGAAAATAATTTCACTCCAAGTCATTTCATTGCTGGGTTTGTTTTTAAAAGTGTTGCTCACAGGAATAAGTGTTTATAGGGCTAGATCCTAGAAACAGCCATAAATGTAAATGGAAACTTTAATTTGGACTTCAGCAACCCAGTTTCGTGCATTATGAAGAATCAATAAACACATTCCAAGTAGATGCAAAGGTTAATAGCCAGGATTTTATATTTCATTTTTACTGTATGTTATTTTAACTTGCAGAGATCCTGGAATTTCTTCAGCAGCCCAGTTAGCTCAAAGACACATCTTTTATTTTCAAATTTTCTACCATTATCAGCACAAGGGATGTTTTATGATTTTTAGGGGCTGGCAATAAATAGAACTGAAAAAGAAATACAATTTATTACAAAATATGTGTTCTTTTTAGGTGTGAAGTCGAAAATAGGTATCAGGGAAACCCACTTAAAGGAACGTGTTACTGTGAGTACCCTTGGGATTTTCTTTGGAGAGAAAAACTGTGTTTGAAGTTTAAAATGTTATTTATAAATATGTTACAGAACGTTTCGTTTCAGTTGCCTCGTCAGCTGTTTAAAATCCAGGGCATTAGGAGGAGGGCTAGAAAAGAGGTTTAAAAAACTTCAATTTTCACAAAAGTATGGTTTAAAGAGAATGAAAATCTTCTTCTTGGTAAGATCTGGGTGATGACTGGATCTTTCAGAACAAAGTTTTGAATGTTTTTCACGTGTCTTTGAAATGAAATCTGCTCTCCTGGTGAGTACTTTAAAATATAGAGCTAATAAGTCAAAATCAAATCATGGCTTTAGAATTTTTTAAGTGGAATATAGTTGTTTTTTGTTTTTTAAATTCTCTTCCATGTTAGAACGGGTAAAGTGTCAAAATTGCCACATTTCCTCTGAAATGGATTGTTGGATTGCTGTGCAGTTTGAGATTCAGGTTACTTAATGGAAACTCTCCAGGTTCCATTTAGCAAGGAGCACCCTGGCTGGCATGGATAAATGTCATCTTAAATTATCAAAAGGTGCAGTTCTCAATATTTATGTGCAATCCAGAAATTATCAACATGCTGCACACAGCCAGTTCTGCTCGTGTAGCCAAAGAAGGGCACTGGTGGCTTCTTGTGACAGTCTCTGCAAGGGTGAAATGGGCCCAAAAGGGGGAAAAGAGAGAACTTTACAGCTCTCAAAGGAACAGCCTCATGCTACACAGGTTGTCTCACTTGGTTTTCTTCCTTGAAAATTTAGTCTTAGAATCATAGGGTCATTAAGGTTGGAAAAGGCCTCTAAGATCATCAGGTCCAACCATCAACCCAACACTCCCATGACCACTAAACCATGTCCTTAAAGTACCACATCCACATGCTGTTTGAACCCCTCCAGGGCTGGGGACTCCAGCACCTCCCTGGGCAGCCTGGGCCAATCCTCACCACTCTGCCAGGAGAGAAATTCTTCCTCAGATCCAACCTCAACCTCCCCTGGGGCAACTTCAGCCCATTGCCTCTTGTCCTATCACTGGTTCCTTGGAAGAAGAGACCAACCCCCACCTCACTTCAGCCTCCTTTAGGGGAGTTGCAGAGTACAAGAAGGTCTCCCCTCAGCCTCCTCTTCTCCAGACTAAACCACCCTGGGTCCCTCAGGAACTTCTTAGTTCCTTATCCTTATCTTCATAGGGTGAATGTCAGAAGGTTGTCCTGCTTGAGTCTGTCCAACAAAGGCTCTCCAGGAAGCAGTAAGAGAAAAATAACCCTTGGTGTACACCTTTGAATGTATTATTGCTTGAAATGCCTCTGCACAGCTTTGGGAATATCTACCAGTCATAATACTGTGTTTTAATGAAGGGCTACTGAGCTGGTGGCTCTGCTGTCAATTGTCAGAGGGGTGACACCCCAGCCCTAGGCAGACATGAGCACAGACAGGCCAAAAACTGGTCCTGACAGGACCAGATACGATGTGAGTGTGACCCAGGAAGAAATTTTTGACACCAAAGGTGGTGAGACCCTGGCCCAGGTTGCCCAGAGAGCTGGTTGAAGTGAAACATCCCAGGTGAGGTTGATCTGGGCTCTGAGCAACCTGCTGTAGTTGGGGATGTCCCTGCTCAGGGCAGGGGGTTGGACTAGATGACCTTGAAACCCAAACCCTTCCAACCCAACCCAGTCTATGACTCCTAGCTGTGCTCTCAGTGCAAGAAACACTTGAGCTGACTTCATGAATTGCTTTGCAGAACATTTTTCTCTTCCAACCTTACTTTCCTCCATGCCTTCATTCCCTGCAGACACCCTTCTCATCGACTACCAGTTCACCTTCAGCCTTTCTCAAGAGGATGATCGTTATTACACAGCAATCAACTTTGTGGCAACACCTGAAGAGGTAAATTTTCTACCTTCTCTTTGAATTTCATCCCTTGGGTATATGTTTGCTGCCTCTTGGCCATGAAGACAATGAATTGTGACCAGTGTCCAGATACGATCTCTTCATGTGACGTATACATCCAGCTCCACAAAGCAACCAGAACTTTCTGAGCTTGGCTTGGCCATACAGTGTCAAATCTTCATGGTAGAATCTCATAAGGAACCCCAGTTGATTCCTGATGGCTGTTTGAACAACTGCTGAGCAACTCTGGTGTTGCTTGTTCACCCAAGAAGTTGTGGTGATCCCACCAATCCCTTCTCTCTGGTTTATTCTCTGCACATAAGTTTTGTTCTTTATTGTGCTTTCCTCAGGGAGGATAATATTACTTTCAGAAAATGCAAAGAACTTTTTGCTTGATGAATTTGCTTCGTGGAATTAACAAGGTTGTGGGGTTGGTTTGGTTTTGTTGGGTTTTTTTTTGGTTTTTAAGATTTTTTAGGAAACAATCCTTTCGAATCGTTACCCTAAAAATGGATTTTCTCTTCTTTTTCCCTCCCAAGCAAAACAGAGACCTGGACATGTTTATCAATGCATCTAAAAACTTCAACCTCAACATTACTTGGGCCACGAGTTTTGCAGGTAAGATAAGCACAAGCCAAGTAGTTTGTTTCAGTTCCCATTTTTCAACAAACGCAGATTTCATTGGGGAAACTTTTTTTAAACCTCTGAACTTGTTCTGTAATGGCTTTAAATGGTAAGTCTGGGGGGTAGAAGTAAAATAATGAAATAAAATATTCATTTGCTATCTTAACAGTGTCTCTTGGAAACACCAAAGGTGGAAATTTGATTTCTAGTGATGCAGTATTTTGGCATACAGTGACTTTGACAATGTATGGGAGTGTTCAGGGGAAGAGTTAATTTAACATTAAAATTCAGGCTGCTTCACCCTTTTTGTTTGCCACTTCAAATGTGCCTTGAAACATCTTTTCTTGCTTCTTGTGAACAGCTGGCACCCAGGCTGGGGAGGAAATTCCAGTGGTTTCCAGAACCAATATAAAAGAATACAAGGACAGCTTCTCCAATGAGAAGTTTGATTTCCGCAACAATCCGAACATCACCTTCTTCGTTTATGTCAGCAATTTCACCTGGCCCATAAAAATACAGGTAGGAGCTCTTAGCATGGATGTAATCATTGAAAAGTCCTTTTTTTTTTCTGGCTCTCAAGCAATGGGAGAGTATAACCCTGCAGCAGACAAAAGGGTTTGATTCTCCTGAGAAAGAGCAAAAAGTTGTCTCGTCTTCTGATGTTGCCTCAAGCTCAGTAAATGTGAAAATGCCCCCTGGCATCAAATAGGTTTCTTGCTTATTAATGAGGCTATGTTCTAATGAGGTCTCTCATTAAAATGTGTAGATATTGGTGTTGAAGTAAGATTCCTATAGCCAAAGCCAAGCCCAGAATGAGAAAACAAGAGGGAAGTGTCTCTTTTTTAACGTCGTCTTCTCAAAAGCCACATCTCAAGCTCATCCCCTTTCTCCTTCTGCTGCCCAAGGCTGGTGGTACCTGCAGAATGAGATGAAGCTCGTTCTTTCCCTTAATTCAGAACACTCAGTTAACACACAGGTTGCCTCAGTTATCAGCCTGACTGTGGTGAAGTGCTGAAGAAGCAGTGGATGAAGCTTGGTGGGTCATAAAGCCACTCCTAGATCACAGATTGCATCAGAGATTCTGCAGCTGCTGTGGCAGCTGATAATTCAGAGGAACCTTGACCACCTCCTTGCTTTGGGCTAAGTACCAACCCACAGTGTTCTCAGAGTGATGCAGGTGTCCTCTGAAGGACAAAAGGACTTTAGGTCTGGAACAGAGATCTCCAGTGAGGCTTCACATCATCTTCACATGACTTTACTTGAGATTTCAGGCATCAGTCACACAAACTCACCATGGGGGTCACTCCCAACAAAGATAATACACAGATAATGTTGAGCAAGGAATTGAGGTTCACCTGGAAAAAAGGTCCTTAAGCTATAGTGATGTTTTTTAAGCTATTTCCTGAACTTTAAGAAAATTATTAGGAATACTTGTGAACTGTCTGCATCACCTTCTGGTGAAGATGATGGGGTTTAAGTACTCAGGAATCTTTGTCTTGTTGGCTCCAGCTGGAGAGTTTTTACTTTATGAGTTGGTAAAGTCTTAGATCATTGTCAAGTCCTAATTTTTAGGCACCAAGGAGTTGGTAAGAGCTGCAAAGTAAAACTTTATGTCATTGGATGCTCAAGCAACAATTTCTAAACCTTGTTGGTTTATTTTAGTCCTGTTTCCAGTACAGAAAATAATGTCCTACATACTCAGGTGGGCACTTGAGTAGCATGTGTTTAAATATTCAGGCTCCTCTTTCATCAAATTGGTAATCACAGGAGTCAGGGAAAAAAAACTGTACTGTATTTACCTTACAGGTTATGTTTGCTGATAGTTTACTTTCCATAATCAGTCCTGGACTTAACCTGATTTATTTATTTGCTATTTCTTGATGCAGAACCTTGTAGATGTTTAACAACAGTGCTGTCTCCTGTCCTTGAAGCTCTCCTGTGTTTACTCCAGTCTCCACCCTAGGTGTACTTATGGTGAATTTCTGACAGCTTTTCCTCTGCCACTGTTGTCATTGAGCTTAAAGGTCCCTTCCACCTTCCTGCTTGGCAGCTGGGGCTCCTGCCTTCCCTGGATTCATGTGGACAAGTCACATCCTCTCTCAGCCTGTAGTGTTTGTGGGCTTAAGCAAGACAAACCCTCATCCTGTTGTCCTGTGGGACAGGTTATTCAGGTTCAGATGCCTCATTCAGCCATGCATAAGGTCCTGGAGATCAGGTCTCACCATTGCTTTGTCCAGGAGTGTGTTGAGGTTCTTCATGGACCTTTCTAGGTCCTTTTATGATAGTATTTTGTTCTCTCTGTTCTTGTGGCTGCAGTAATTAATAGTCTATATTACTTTTAATATGGACTAATACACCTTGTGCTTTCACATCCTTGGTTTCCTACTGATGAGCTCTCAATCTTGACAATAAAATTCTTCTCAGTCCCTAATAGCATCCAGAAATGTTATCCTGCTGCTGTTTCTGGATCATATTGCCAGTCCTGAAGATCATCTACCTGTTCTTCAGTGTGGTTCTTTTCCATATTTTTATTGATGACCCCCTTCAACTTTGTCAGCAGATTGTGACATTAACACCCTTTCTTTTTGGGTCTAAATCATTAATAAATTTATCAGTCAGAGTCTATCCAAGTGCCATCCTTGAGCTAAATTTTGTCCCCCTTAACCACTGTGATTCTTGAAATAATCCCACCCATCCTCATCTCAGCCAGGAATTTCCAATGGATTGATATTCCTAATGAAATTTGGATGGGGTTGGTGAGACAGAAAATGGGGGGCTGGCATCTCACAGCTCACCATTGTCAGCTCTAGCCCCAACTCAGGAAGGCCAAGAGTTAATGGTTTTAAACTGAAGGAGAGTAGGTTTAGATGAGGCCTTAGGAAGAAGTTCTTCAGTCCAAGGGTGGTGAGACTCTGGACTAGAGGTTGTGGATGCCCTTCCCTGGAGGGGTTCAAGGCCAGGCTGGATGAGGCCTTGAGCAACCTGGTCTTGCTGAGAGGTGTCCCTGCCCATGGCAGGGGGTTGGATGAGATGATCTCTAGGGTCCCTTCCAACTTCAGCCATTCTATGATTCTGTGAGGTGGACTTGTTAGAGTGGGTCTAGAGGAGGGCCATAAAAATAATCCCTCTGCTGGGAGGCCAGGCTGAGAGTTGGGGTTGTTCAGCCTGGAGAAGGCTCCTGGGAGACCTTACTGCAGCCTTCCAGTATCTGAAAGGGGCCTACAAGAAAGCTGGGGAGGGACTTTTAACAAGGACTTTACAGTGATAGGACAAGGGGGAATGGCTTCAAACATGAAGAGGAGAGATTTAGATGAGAAATTAGGAAGAAGTTCTTCACTGGTGAGACACTGGCCCAGGTTGCCCAGAGGAGCTGTGGATGCTCCATCCCTAGCTGTGTTCCAGGACAGGCTGGATGGGGCTTTAAGCAACATGATTTAGTGGGAGGTGTCACGTGCTGGCAAGGGGGTTGGAACTTAACTAGATGATCTTTAAGGTCCATTCCAATCAAACCATTCTATGATTCTCTGATTTACTACTTCTTTTTACTTTCAGTAAGTCGATTTACTATGACTTTTCTAGTCAAAACTTGTCCTGAAGCTTTGCCTGCTGTTGAGGTCTCAGGAGTGTGAATATCTGGGTTCTCCCTCCTCCTCTGAGTAAGAGTTCTGTGTTCTCCATCATGCCCCACTGGGTGGTTGGTGCCTTGGCCAACCTTGCTGCCAGAGGTGTTACTTCACATGCTGTTCCTTTTAGAGGATGCTCACTGGCTGCTTCCTCTGACTTGGAACACATCAAAACATTTGAGTTCTGTCTCCACCTTGGTTATCTATCTTCTGTAACCTCATTCCCCTGAGGTGCTTTGCCTCTCACCCCTGTTCAGTGTCCTTGTCCTTCATGGAAACTCTGCTTCTAGGGCTGCAGCTGGTCGGTTTTAATCTCTTGCCTTATCTCACCCTTTCCCTTCCTGCTCTTTTTCACTTGCCTGGCTGAAACCTCTCCTGCTATATTTTGTTTGTCGTTTGCTGAGGTCTAGCACAACTTGACATTGAGCAGTTCTCATTTTATCTCTGTGCTGCTGGCTGGCTCCTGGCTAATGAATCCTTTCCTCCCCACAACGCCTCGACTCTTTCATCGTTCCTCGTGGCCTTTTTGAGCTCAGTTCTGAGGCTGCAGCTTTCAAATAGTTCTGCAACTTTGACCTGAGAGAAGTACTTAGATGGCTGTTTTCCCACTCCTTATCTCCTTAGCCCACTTGCTTTTACTATCTTATTTAATTTCCCCTAGTTAAAAAGAGTGAACTTTGATTCTTTTACAACACTTACCTCGTTTTATCCTTAATTTAATATGACTTTGCTTGTGTGCACTCAATCCAAGCTCATTTTATGTCACCAGCTCTTCTTAATGCCCTTGTTACTTGCCAAAGCAAAGTCTAAAATAGCATCAGCTCTTTAATGGTTGAGAGCCCCTTTTTGTGAAGAAATCTGGCAGCAAGATCCCATCCAGGATTATGTGCTCCTCATGGTTTCTCTTAGATTGTTCTTCAGTTCTTAGCTAAGAAACATTTTTCCCCAAAATTGATGGTTTTCTGTCATCTTTCTCCAAATACCTATTGGTGTTGAATGTCTCAGTCTTTGTTGTCCTTCTCCTGGAAGCCCACCTGCACCTCCTTTCTCTGGAGATCTCCTTGTAGCTCACCACAGCATCCCTCCCTCCTTCCTCACAGCAACCCAGCAGCGTTTCTCATCTCAGTGTGAGATAAACCAAATTTTCTTCTGCATCCTTTAACAGCTGTTGGAGACTCAGGTCTGTATTTTGCATTCCTAAATTGTCTTTGTCACAGGGTCCCAGGGTGGTTGAGGCTGGAAGGGACCTGTAGAAGTCATCTAGTCCAACCTCCTGCTCAAACAGGGCCACCTAGAGCAAGCATCTCAGCACCATGTCCAGATAGCTTTTGAATATCTCCAAGGATGAAGATTCCACAACCTCTCTGGGCAACCTGGTCCAGTGTTTGATCACCCTCACCATTCAAAAGTGTTGCCTGATGTTCAAACAGACCCTCCTGTGTTTCAGTTTGTGCCCATTGCCCCTGGTCCTGCCACTGGCAAGAGCCTGGCTCCATCATCTTTGCATCCTCCCTTCAGGTGTTTATGCACCTTGAGCCTTCTCTTCTCCAGGCTGACCAGTCCCAGTTCTCTCAGCCTTTCATCACAGAAAAGGTGCTTCAGCCTTTGAGTTGTCTTCATGGCCCTTCACTGTACTCCCTCCAGTATCTCCATGTCTTTCATGTACTGGGAAGCCCAGATGAGGATCCAGCTCTCCAGACATGGCCTTGCCAGTGGTGAGTAGATGTGGAAGGGTCACCTCCCTCCACCTGCTGGCAGTGCTTTGGCCAACACAAGCATTGCATGGTGAGCAAGCACCATTGGGCATCGTGTGGCAAGGCTCCTGGTCAGTTTTGTGTCCACCAGGACCTTCTCAGCCAAGCTGTTTGCCAGCTGGGTGGCCCCCAGCACATACTG